TAGTACTGTAGCTACTGGTACAAGAAGAAATGTTTTGCTCATTTTTTTTCTACTTGAATAACTGGATTTATCCTTGAACCCCGGGGAGGGCTTTGAGTCTGGAGGTGATATTAAAGAGTTTCAGCTTTTTTGTCCATCTTCCATTTGTATTTTGAAGAGTGGTTACAAATTTCTCTAGGGAAAGTTGAGAAGAAATAAGTTTAGAATTTAAGGGGAATATAGTAATTTGTGTTTCACACTTTCCTTAGGTAGTTTCTCAAAAACTCCCAGGTGATATATGTTTCAAAATAATATTGTTTTAATCTATTGATGACAAATGAATAGGAACACTTGAATGTCTTCTAACAAGAAAATAAGATTAGCCTACCTTCATTTGTAATTCTCTGCAGCCATCTCTTACATGATAAATTGGTATCTGCTAGGTTCTCTATGCTAGAAGATCAAGATCCAGATAGTCTTTGGTTGGGGATTTTATCTAAATCCTTTCAATTTGATGTTGCATCAGAGAAACAAGGATGATTATAACTTTTGTCCTATTCAATATACTATGTCACTTATTTTACTATACTGTTAAGTCTTTTATTCTCAGTTAGCAAGGATTTAGAACATTCTTGTTCTTCAATACATATAACTTAGTTTATGCTTTGAGTACTATTCAGGGAAGAATATGGACAGTGAATTATGTGTAACTCATGAGTAAGTTTCACATCGAAGTACTGAAATGATATTGCCCTTAATATAATAAGGTTACTAATAATATTTTTAAAATATATATATATATTTTATTGATTTTTTACAGAGAAGAAGAGAGAGAGATAGAGAATTAGAAACATTGATGGGAGAGAATCATCTCTCAGCTGCCTCTTGTACACCCCCTACTGGGGATTTGCCCGCAACCAAGGTACACGCCCTTGACCAGAATCGAACTTGGGACCTTTCAGTCTGCAGGCCAACGTCTATCCACTGAGCCAAACCGGTTTCGGCTGGTTACTAGTAATAATTTTGATGTGCTTTTTTCAATATATATACAAATATTAATAAACTAATAAAGCATTCTATCAGTTATACTTCAATAAAAAAGAAAATAAAGGACAGATATATCAGTCTCAAAATATCTTTAATCCAACATAAATTTAGCAACAGATTTTTATTTTGATGAAATGGGTTATTGAACTTATTGGTTAAATTCAGTCAAAGCGTTCAAATGTTTCTACATAAAGTTCTGGACACAAAACAGGTTAACTAATCTTAAAATGGGAAAAATTGAAAACAAAAAAATCACATTAATTATAATTGATGATGACACTTTACACATAGATTGGCACCATGTTAACAATAGCATTTCAAATTCTAACCAGTTGAGGGCTTATAGACAAGGCATGCATGAATTGCCTGTAGTAAGGGCCATGACTCTCAAGGGAATTATTATGTAAATAATTCCGTTTCCTTTACTGAACTATGTGGTTGGGGGCTCTTTACAAATATGGTGTCCAGAATCTTTGGTTTTCCATAGTATATTTGTGTTTGTGCAGTATGTGCATGTGCACCATGTGTGGCAAAATTGATGATATTAAAGGATAAAAAATGCCAAGATGTGGAAAGAGATCTATGGAAACTTGAGTAAACAAAGAATTCCAAGAATATAATATTTTAATATAATAATAATAATAAGTCTAATTTGTGCATATCTATGTATCTGATGCTGTTTTGGGTGCTTCTATTTATGACACATGCCATTAGTTTATGGATAATCCATGAGTGCTGTATTACTATTTTTAAGAATTCCAGATACTTGGACCACATTCTTGCAGACTTTGAAAAGCTACATCATTGTATGGCCATTCTCCTGTAGCTCTTCTACTTTTGTATCATAATTACTGAATGCTTAACTTATTTTCTGTGTTAAACTCTACACTTCTTGATTACTATTGACCTTATTTGTATAGTGTTTTTATACTCAGTGGATAAATGCTAAATATCTAGTTAGTGGATGAATGAATTTTTCTCTTGATCTGAGTTCTACAAATGGTAAACAAAGCAATGCAATGACATAATTCAAGACAATACATATGAAAGAAACCTGTCATTCTAATTTAATAACAGGATCCTACTAATAACACAAAAGTAACTTTAATATCTTTATATAGGCAAACACTGAAGCTTACTGTGCTCACAGAAATTAATATTCTGACTATGACTACCAATTTAACATTAATTTTTTTTTCATTGCTGAGCTTGTTAATAAAAATGCTACTTTCTTTCCTAAAGAATTTCCATAATGCAAATGTTTCATAAGTATAATGTTTCATCCTACAAGTATTTGCATGTTAAATGTGTGAGGCCCAGAATTTCAAACTGGCAGTTTCAAATTGCCATCTAAAGTTCTAATGCTGAAATCTGCAAAGGTGTAATTAGGAAGTGAAATAATAAAACCCTCCAGTGTCCACAATACAAAATGTCAGTGCTGCTAACAATTAAATGTGCTAACATTTAAGTAATGAACTTTCATTGACACCCAAAGAATAAAATCCAGCCATTAGGACGACATCTACATAGCAGATGATTTCACAGGAAAGCGCTCCGACCTCCATCAAGTTAGGAATCAATAGAACCTAGGCGAGTGTGGCACAAAGGCAAGGTCTCAGCTGCTGAAAGGCCCTTCTGCGCTGGAGCAATACTAAATTATCGCAGCTAATGTACAACCAACCGTGGTGTAAAAGATAAAAGGGTGAAGTTCTCACAAATGATCATTCATCACCCCATTCCGAAATGCAGGCAGCATTCATTATGGATCTAAATGCCACTCAAATTTCATCATTTAGTAGGGTTTTGAAACAGCCAAACCATTAACAGGAGAGAGTAGCTTTTTGTATTTATACAACCAGTGACTAATGAAACGTTACACTCTGTGTGCAAAAGGGGTGAAAAAAACACCTTTATTTTGTAATGAACCCAATTGGAGGCCTTTTAAACACAGTGTAATACGGTCTCACTGTTTCATCGAGCCTTTCATTACTTGTGTCGATAATCCTGGGTAAACTACTGTTGAACTTCACAGCATTTATATAGTAGCATGAATAGCATTAATCTATGGGGTGCTTTTGACAAATTGTAGTTCAAAAAGCAAAGCCAAAAATTACTTCTTACAAAGTGCTTAGAAAAGCATTTATTAGAAATGTGTCAACTGCCAACTACCCAAAGGCAGCTTGGCTATTTAGGAAATCATGCTGTTGGCTGGCTCGCAAACACTTGGAACACATAGGAATTTTCCCCACTTGAAGTACTTTAAAAAAAAACAAACAACATTCTTTTTATTGAATTATATGATTTTTCTGTCACTTCCTTCTCAGTCTGTATTTTTAATTTCATATTGCTTTCTACATAATGTGACATGCTGTGCAACAATCCCCCAGGCCCCAAGAGACTCTCAGGTGAGAGAAGCACTTAAAAAGTTAAGGGACAATCTGATTAGACCTCATTTACATGAGTGCATGATCCACACAGCCAGGTCAGCATGAATGGAAAGCTACTCCTGAATTATGCTCTGAGGATCTAATTTAGGTGGCAGGAGTGTCTACAAGGATTCACCACATTTAATTCCAATACATCAGTCTAATTTGATTAGGCTGGTCTTTCTCAAAATATAGAATATGCACAATTCATAATATGCTAGAAATTAATCTCTCAGCTCTACCTTCAAGATGTTTGCATGAGGACAGTCTAGGATAGAACCTCCATTTGCCTTTGATAACAAAGTAGTATTTAGAATTAAGAGATTGTATATACTAAAGCAATTTGGAAGTAGAATATTAGCTTAATATATCAATCTTTATCCATTTTTAGCAGCATTACAGTAAAATAAATACCTGGGTAAAAGCATAATATAATTATCATTTCCCTAAATTTAAATATATTTTTAAAGAATTAGATTTTACCTCAAAATTCTTTTTTTTTTTTTTAACTAACACATGCTTCTTATAGTATTCTATAATTTAGTCCATGAGAAAACATATCAAATAAGCCTACACTCTTTATTATGTCTAAGATCCACTGGATTTACAACAGCATCATGATTTATGCAATACTCATTTGGAATACTGTAATAATGTGTAGAACACAGTACTAGTCTTAGTAAAATTTTCTTGGAGAAATATATGAAGAAAATGTTCCACTCCCCATAGCTTCTCTCTCTCTTAGAAATTCACAGTGTACCCTGCATATTAAAAAGCTATGAGAAATTCTTCAACAAAGAAACCTTACTTACTCCGTTTATTGCAATATCTTTCAATCTCATAAAAGTTATCTCCATCCTACAATACGTTAGTGTTATGTTATAAACAACATAATGTGGTTTGGGAGGTTGGAAAAAGCAGGTACTTTTTCAATTTTGTGTGTTAATATTTATTTCTGAATTTTGTTATATATACTCAAATTCTGAGATTAGTGGAGTGGAAAAAATGTCTGTGGGTGTTTTAAATATTGTTCATAAGAAATTAAGACAGTTGTCATTAATATTGCATACCTCTATTTCTGCTCCATCTCAATAACATTCTATCATTCTTTGTGAATCCAGTTACAGTGATTATAAGTACATTTAAATGACAATACAACCAAAATAAGCTTATGGGAAATATAATCTTTATGATTTTGATTTATAACTAAAATCACTTATTTGTATAACTGAAAGAAAATCATTAATATAATTGAAAAAAATCATTAATATAATTTAATAGTCACACAAAATTACACAATATATTTGTAATAAGGAAAACTTATCACAAAATTAATTTTTATTTTTAGTGTATCTTTTAATTTAATTTTATTAGTTTGACTTGGAACACTTTAAAAATAAATCTTGGAGATATTTACACTTATGAGGCCTTCTAAAAGAAAAAGAAAAATCTTTAATTTCGTGTATTATTCTAAAGACTTTGATAACTTCAAAAAGTTTTCCAAGAGATTGATTCTTTCACATATGATGACATCCAAAAGGTACTCACCATGTACAATGAGAACATACTCTGCACTGCTTTGGCCGATGGTGTTGGTGGCTTCACATCGATACGTGCCATTATCCGTTTTGTTCAGGAAAAGAATATTTAGCTCTCTACCACTCACAACCATTCGATCAGGATCTGGTAATTCTCCACCATCCTTTGTCCACAAAACAGGTTCTGGCCTATCAGATGTAAACACAAGCATAGTTAGAAAAAAAATAAGGAAGTGCTACATATGTTGTGAATTAAATAAAGGAAACAATTTATAAATGTTTAACACCCATTTTGTGCATAAACATGTGCTAACTTCTATAAGGTACCAAAAGAACCATTATGTACTTACTCAGAAGAATTGAAGGGATGACAAATATACTTTAATTCTATCCTGCTTAACTAGGCAGGATATGCACTTTCTTAGACATGCACCAAGAAAGTAATTTGTTGAGTCATCATAGGAGTCCCTGATATATAGCAGTTCCTGTGGTCCTGATCTGATGCTAATGACTCACACTTGCTAATGCTTGGAGAAAGGTCCTGCAGCTATTGAAACAGCTTTTTCCCCAGAGGTTCCTGGAATGATACTTTTGCACTATGGCCACCATTGTGACACAGTTGTTGCCTGAGACCACATATAGATTTTCCCTTTTTTTTCTCCTGTTTTTCTCATTTCTGTAAATGTTATTATATTGATAGTTCTCTCATTTTTATCCCTAGTTTTATTACTATACAATTAACATATAATGCTGTATTAGCTTAAGGTATACAACATAATGATTTGACATATGCATGCATTTCAAAATGATAATAACAATAAGATTAGTTAACATCCATAGCCATATATATATATATATATATATATATATATATATATATATATAATTTTTGTGTTTGATAAGAACTTTTAAAATTACTGTTAGCAATTTCCAGATATACAATACAGTATTGTTAACTACAGTAATAACATTGTATATTACATCACCAGGAATTTTTATTTTACAACTGGTAGTTAGTACCTTTTGACCACATTCACACATGTCCCCTACTCTCATCCCATCTCTGACCTCTTTTATTCAACATTGTACTTGATGTCTTAGCCAGAGAAATTAAGCAGGAAAAATAAATAGCACCCAAATCAGAAAGGAAAAAAGTAAAACCCAGTATTTATAGATGGCATGGTACATACAGAAAACCCTAAAGACTTTACCCCCACACTTCCCCAAAATATAAACTGTTAGAATTAATAAGTGAATTCAGTAAAGTTGCAGACTACAGAATAAATATACAAAAATGAATACATTTCTATACAGTAGCAGTAAACCCAGAAAAATAAATTAAAAAACCACCCCATTTGCAACTGAATCAAAAAGAATAAAATTCTTAGGAAAAAATTAATCATAAGTGAAAGACATGTATACTGAAAACTGTAAGACATTGGTAAAAAACATTAAAGAAGACACATAAATTGAAAGATATTTAATTCTTATGAATTGGGAAATTAATATTGTTAAAATACCCATACTACCTAAGCCATCTACAGATTCAATGAAATCGCTATAAAAATTTCAATGACATTTTTCCAAGAAACAAAACAATAATCCTAAAATATTCATGAACCACAAAAGACCCCGAATTACCAAGCAATTTTGAGGAACAAGAAAACTATCTGTAGGGATTACATTTTATGGTTCCAAACTATATTAAAAATCTATAGTAATTAAACCAGTATGATATTGGCATAAATACAGATATATAGATCAATGGAACAGAATAAAGAATCCAAAAATAAACCCATGCATATATGGTCAATGAATTTTGACTAAGGAGTCAAGAATATTCAACGGAGAAAGGACAGTTTCTTAAATAAATGATACTGCTAAAATTGCAAAAAGAAATAATAAAGCTGGATTTCTATCTTACACAATACACAAACATTATCTCAAAATGAATGACAGAGTTGAATGTAAGATGTGAAACAATCAAACTTCGAGGGAAAAGATATATAGCCAGCTCCTTGATATTGATCTCGACAGTATTTTTCGGATTTAATACCAAAAGCACAAGCAACAAAAACAAAAGTAAATGTGTGACTGTGTGTGTTCCATGCAATAAAGTCAAATCCTGGCAACCATATGTATGAGTGATGTCCACAATGTCCTGTCCTTAATAGCCCTGCTTAGCTCCTGTAGACTCCTGCCTATCGCTTCTTTTTTAGAGTGAATCACTCTCATATTTGTTGTTCCTCTTTTCCTGCTGCCTTAATTTTCTCAAGCATTGCTGTTGGCTTGTTTGTTGTTTTCCCAGAGAATCGTGCCTTTTCATTATGTGTCCAAAGTAGGACAGCTTTTTGTTGTAATTTTTGCCTCCAACAATGTTTCAAGTTTAATTTGCTCTAGAACACACTTATTCACCTACACGGAGGTCCAGGTTTCTTAGAGCTCTCCTCCAACACCAACACCATATTTCAAATGAATCAATTGTTTTCCTTTTAGCCATCTTCACTGTTCAACTTTGGCACCTGACTAACCATAGCAACTGGGGATACTTTGATGTAAATGATCTTAGCTTTTGTCTCCAATGACACATCTCTTCTCTTGATTTTTCCTAATTCTTCCATTGCTGCACTTCCAAGTCTCAGCTTTCTCTTAAAATAATGAATGCAGTCTTCATTTAAATTAATGATTGAACCAAGGAAGACAAGGAAAATCTTTAACAATTTCAATATGTAAAGTCATACATTTCTTTTGCAGTCCTAATGTTTGTTTTCTGGAAGTTCAAATGCATTGCTACTTTGCTACTTTCTTTTTTTCATTTTTATCAGAAGCTTTTACAAATCATTGCTACTTTCTGCCAGTAAAATACGCCATCTGCATATCTTAAGCTACTGATATTTCTTCCACCTATTTTTACTCCTCCTTCCTCTGAAGTAGCCTCATTTTTTGATAGGATATGCTCTGTATACAGATTAAACAGATTAAAAATGCATTCATGACACATTTGCCTATAGGAAGTTGCTCTGTCTCTCCGTATTCTATCCTGACAGTGGCTTCCTGTCTGCAACACTGTTTATGTATCAGGAAGATCAAGTGCTGGGGCCTGTCACTTTCTTTTAGAACAACCCCTAGTTTTCAGGATCCATGCAGCCAGAGGCTTTTCTGTAGTCTAGGAAACATAGACTAAGATTCTTCTGGAATTCTTTGGAGCACTTCAGTATGCAGCAAATGTTTGTGATAAGATTTTGAATGTCTTTTACCTTTTTGAGTCCAGCATTTCTTGCTCCATGTGAGGTAGAAGAAGCCTTCATTGCATTACCTTGAGCATCGCTTCACTTGTGTGGAAAATTAGAGCAATGGTCCTTAGGTATTGCACTTCTTGGAATCTCATTTATTGAAAATGAGGATGTATAGCCGAAACCGGTTTGGCTCAGTGGATAAAACATCGGCCTTGGGACTGAAAGGTCCCAGGTTCGATTCTGGTCAAGGGCATGTACCTTGGTTGCGGGCACATCCGCAGTAGGGGGTGTGCAAGAGGCAGCTGATCGATGATTCTCTCTCATCAATGTTTCTAACTCTCTATCCCTCTCTCTTCTTCTCTGTAAAAAAATCAATAAAATATATTTTAAAAAGAGAAGAAAATGAGGATGTATATTGAATAGTTTCAGTCTGTAGGCCATTGTTTGGTTTTCCATGTTTGTTGATATACCCTTGTTAGGATATTGACAGATTCAGTCTCTGTGGCGTGAAATAATCCCATCAGTATGACATCTAACCTTAGAGATTTACTTGTCCTCAATACTTTCTGAGTAGCTTTAACTTCAGTTTCTGGAATCATAGGTTCTTCTACATAGGAATGTTCTTCAAAGGTGTCTGCCATTTTGTCTCTTCTGTATAGATTTTCAGTAGATTGTTTCCACCTTCCTCTTATGTTCTTAGTTAAGGTATATTCTTCCTTAGTCATTCAGCATTAGTCTAGGTTTGAATTTTCCAAATCTTCTAGTAGAGAGCTCTTATTTTTTCTTTTTTGTAGTTCTATCTCCTTACATTGACTAATGTAATAGCTCTATTTATCTCTACATAATACTTATTGAAAAACTGCATTCAGGATTCCAGCCCTGCTTTTGTCATATATTACTTTTTCTTTTTGCCTGTTATGAACAATTTTTAGTGTTTCTTCTGTCATTTATGAGTTTGTCTTTCCTTGTTACCACCAGCATTGCATTTTCATACATATTATATCTTAATAATATTTCTAGTGACAGACCACATTTCTTCTAGTTCTCATTTAAGTTTACCAGTGCGAATATCTTCTTTTTAATGCGGACTTAAACCCATCAAGGATGTTATTTGTATTATATTCTGACACTACCATTCTTTCAGAGCTCCTTTTCAGCTTTACCTTAATGTTTGATATTCACAGATTGTGCTCAGTACCACAATCAACCAATACCTCATTTTGTTTTGGCAGAGTGATTTGGGAGTCAAAACCACATATGGGACTACATAAAACTAAAAAGCTTCTTCACAACATAGAATACCATTAAAAAAATCAAAAGACAACCTCCAGAATGGAATAAGTTATTTTCAAATCATATATTTAATAAGAGTTACATATCCAAAATATATAAAGAATGGATACATCTTTAAATAAATAAAGTTAATAAACAGGGAAACTGAATAAACATTTTTTTTTCCAAGGAAGACATGCAAATGGCCAACAAGGTATGCAATATCACTAATCATCTGGAAAATACAAAGGAAAACATCACTGAGATATCAGCTAGTACATGTTTTGATGACTTATCATCAAATTAAAATAAAAAGAATACAAGGGTTTCAGAAAACATGAAAAATAAGAAACCCTTTTGCACTGTAATTGAGAATGTTAATTGTTGAAACCACTATGCAAAATAGTATGAAGATTACTGAAAAAATAAAAAATAAAAATATTACATGTTTCACCAAATCTATGCTGGGTATTTATCCTGAAGAAATGAAATCAGTATCTCAAAAAGATATATGCATTTTTATGTTCACTGCAGTATTATTTACTTAGCCAAGACATGGAAACACCTACATGTCCATCAATGGATAAATGGATAAAGAAAATGTATTTCAGATAGAGTAAGTATTCAGCCAAAAAAAATAAGGATATCTTTCCCTTTGAAATAAGATATATAAACCTTGAG